CTGGAGCCTAGTGTCATGCCTTAAGGGAATTATCAGCGCAGCTGGAAGCATCTTTGAACAGTCAGAGAAAACTCGGCTGAATCCACCACCCAGAATTGTTCTTGTCCTGACAGAGATGTGTACATCTCTTTCTGCGAAATGTGAATGAGCAGATGGCGAAGTTGAGAACAAAAACCTGAACTAAACATAATAACTAGAAAGGTGCTGCAGATCTCCACCAGGTGCGTCTGCAACGACCTCTGCTGTAGTGTGTGATTGAATGACAACAGTAAATCAGTTTGTTTAAACATTCATTTCAAATTCCAGTGACTCTCTTGAACTCATAATTAACTTCATACTGTGTTCTTAGCTGATTGTCGAGCAACTTCAGTTTAATCAGTTCAGTTCAAAGTTGGCTTGGACCTTCCCTGTATTTGCTGCACAAGCATAAAGGAAAGTAAGACAAAGAAACACACACGATACATTTTCATTTAGACCATTTCACAATTTATGTTTTTAAGGGTCTTTCAATCTCTTTTTTTCAACAGCGTGAAAATGCTGACACACATTACTACAAGTCTGGCCTGCTGTCAGCTCTTATTAGTGTCTGAGTGTGTGTGTGTCTGTGTGTGACTGTAGACGCTCTGTCTACCCCTGATGTTTGAAAGAAATGTGCACGTGTAAGAAGACAACTCCAGACCTAAAGAGAGAGGACGTGTGAAAAGCAATTAAGACCAAGGCAGAAGGGAGGAGGGGTGGAAGTGCATCTGTAGCCAAACCTTTTCCTTTGGTTCATGTCAGACAGACTTTGGAGAGCTTTCTCGCTCATGAAACAGCCCTACCCCCAAAACACACACACACACACACACAAACACACACACACGCACACACACACACACACACAAGCACACTTGAATCATGACGTCAATTGTTTTATTCAGCTTTAAGTCCTCTTGCTCAATCTGTGCTTACAATCTATAACAAATGCTTTTTACAGCTGTAACCGCCCATGTAACACATTTTGGAACCAACATAGTTTTTTCATCATTCCCTTCATGTAAGCAAGGAAAAAGCAACTCGTACACTGTTTGTCAACAAGAGAATTTCGTGAAAAGGGTTGGAGACTTCTTGTCATTCCCTATGGCAAGTCTGAAAAAAATCTCTGATTGGCTGCAGTGAAATATGTTGAGGGAGAGAGAGAGAGAGATAGATGATGATGATGGGATTAAACAGCTTGTTAGAAGCTTTTTTCCTCCTACACAGAGACAGATTGTAGGAAACCTCAAACTCCTCCGTATCCATCTGAGTGCATGGCCACAGGCTCTGTGTGTGTGTGAACCAGTGTGTTTATGTGTGAGACAGAAAGTTTGTGTGTTTGTGCAGGTCTCTTGCGTACGTGTGCGTGTCTGCTGACGTAGAAGTGGCTGTGTACGTCTTTCAGGCTGTAGCGATGGAGGAAGGGATGGAGGGGACACCTGTCTCTGTCTGTCCGAGGGGAGGAGCTGGCAGGGTGAATGCAGTGTCATGTTCTCTCTCTGACTAAGTCCACACTGTGCCGGCTGAGTTTGAAATCTGTTTCTCTTAGTTTTGCCGCACCCCAAAACAGAGCTATCCTCAACAGCCTGTAATCTGTAAAAAAAAGGCCGGCATAACATATTTTTGTGTGGACAAGGAAAACTGAGTTTTGGAAAAAGATTTTAGGAGTCTGCTCAAGAACTGTCAGAGTCTATGTAACTGTCAAGTTAATCTATCCATCCATCCTCTCAGCTTTGTTAATAAAGATTAGTTTCAAATTCAAATATTCACAAATTCTAACATCCTCTCTCTCTCTCCCTCATCTCTTCCTCACCTCTCACCCACACGTTGGGTCTTGGCCACAGGTTATGTGTCTGACAGCACATAAGAGAACGCTCAAGAGGAAAAGGGGACAGAGGGAGAAAAGGAAGGAGTCAAAGAATGATTGGGGAAAAAGACAGCGTTGGAAATTAAAACACTGACAAATAATCAGGGGAAGAGTGAGCCAGGAGGAGGAAGAAAAGGAGATCTTGTCAGGATCCACGAGTAGCCGTTAAACAAAGTTGTCATTTCACAAAAGAGGAGGAGGAAACTGTCGCCGGGATGAGGCGTTCTCTTGGGAAAATATGACAGGAACTGCGACACATACACACGTATGCTGGCACACGCAAACACGCACACAGATGCACACACACAACGCTCACAGTGCAGTGACAGCTTGCGTCATAACTGTGGTGTTATAGTTCCACGCAAAGCAGACACAAAGCATGATGTGAGAGTGGGAGGTGTATGACCCTCATTATGTCAGGAGCTTGCTCACCTGTCAGAAAATCACAGGAAACGTACACACACACACACACAGACGCAAACTGCAAGCGCATGTACAGTGAGAACCAGAGCAACACACACACACATCACATTGTGTCTATGCACAATAGAGTTATCATCTGTGACTTGACAGCCTTTTATAAAGCTATGGGGGTTGTGTTGAATCTGCTGCTTTTGTCTGCAGTGTATCTGTATTACAGTAATCACCATTTTGGGGACAAAATGATATTCACACATTAAGGTGATTTACCTCCCGTTTGGGGTCAAAAAGCTAGTCCCTAAAAGTTAAGAAACGAAACTTTAGGTTTTAGACTTGGTTTTTGGTTGTGGTTATTGGTAATATACAGGATTTAAAGCATTAATATAGCAGCAAACAACAATTTGCTATGTAAAGATATAGTGGAGTTATGTCCCTCTGTGTGTGTTGTAATACGAGCTTCTCCTTGCTTCGTTGACATAGCCTGGCCGGTCGTGCCTGCTGTTTGTGCACGTTAGTGCACACGAACGTGCCCCACTCACTAGCTCACGGCCTCCGCTCTGCACGGCTCTCATACGGCGAATAAAGCTTATCACACCGTCCCGACCAAGGCGTCATCACAGAAGCGTAGCATTCACCCTCCAGTTCCCCCTCAGGTAAACACTGTTAGCGTCGTTAGCATCGGTAACTGCGAGCCACCTGCTCAGCATTCGCCATGAGAGGCAATAGAAATGTTCCCAATCCTGTTTATCGCACCTTTAAGGGCTGGGGTTTGGAGTGCCCAGGGAATAAATCCTAGTGCCTGAAATATCCTTTTAAGCTTAGTAGTAGTACTATCATTCTATTGTACATGAAACTTCATCTGTTGAGTCACTGGCCTTCTGTCGCTGGTTTATGGTATTTTTAAAAAGTCAATAAATGTTGTACTTAAAGTATAATATCTCTTAAACTGTATGGAAAAGACAAGATGCTTTGGGTTCCTTAAGGTTGAGGCATGTCCATTTGATTACTATAGAGAAATGTAGAACGCTCAATATTAGAGCAATTAGAGGCCCTGTGGTCAGAACTGATCAATATGATGGACGAAGATGTGCAAATAGAGTCCAGCCATAAGAGAAACCCTAATTGAAAATTAAGTCACTTAACTCGGAGTCAAACAAATGTTGCTCAAGGAATTTCTTTCCGGGAAGCTATTTCAGAGCCAGGCAGGTGTGTCTTTGGTATCCAGACACGAAGGCAACACTCCTTCTGTGGGTCCGGAGACAGGTCCTGACATGTGTGGTCAGAAAACATGAAAGAAATGGGAATAAGAATAGAGGAATAAGAATAGATTCAGAACCTTCCCGTTATGGATGAAAGGAGAGTCACATGCAGTCGTTCTGGCTGTAGCTTTAGGTAAATTCCGATTTGAATCATGGCTTTTGTATGAAAAGAACTACAAACAAGTTGCAGCACTTGATGTGATATGACAGGACAATTGTTACTTTAATGCCAGTTATATTCCCACAAACCTGAGTTTAATCTTTGTGTACTGAGGAATCCATGTTAATCATAATACATCTATTCCTTCATTTGGTACCAACATGGTTAGTTATATTTCAGCACAGCCCTTGAATTTCTCTGAGAACTGAAGGCCCCTAGGCTGAGTTACAAACATTATTGAATTAGACCTGGGCGAAAGATGTAAACTAGAGTCATTTGTTCCAGGTTAATCCTTTTCTAGCATCAAAGGCTGTAAGTAGGGTGCATCCGTAGTTCAAAAAGCTCTCACAGTCTGACTCTGGCCCTCGTGTGACATAAAGCAACTAAGTGAAGCACATTTTCTTGTTTTATATATATATTTTCACGCACAATGCAAGACTTGTTTACCTATCATTCCTTCTTAAATTATTGCATTGCCTTGCTTTAATGTCATGAAACTTCTAATTAACTTTTAAAAAATGAGAAACATTTGGGAATCGGTTTTCTTATGAATTTCTAAAGTTCAGCACACATGTGACACCACTGTTTCCTCATGCAAGCTGAAGGGAATCACGTCATCATACCGTCACACTCTCCTTTTGTTTGTATTATAATATAGTTATAGTCCATAAAATGGTGTTCTGTAGACCATGAAGCCCGTAGCAGTTTGGGTATATAATCACTCGATTACAGTGCAGTTATTGAATTTTAAAACGGTTTCTCTTTCTCTTTCTGCCTCATGCGGGTGGTTCTTTTCTTCCTCCACCATCTGTGAACTGCCAATGTCTTCTGCTGCATTCATTTGAATTGTAATGACGCCCGATGCTTCTGCTGATAGTAACTGTGCTTTCAGAAGTCCCTCTAGCCACTGATGGATGCAAGCAAATTCGCTCATTGCTTCCGTTTTGTTGCCAAAACCAATGTGATGTGCCTGCCAGAGGAAAAAACTAATAAAGAAAAAAAAAACGAATAACATCAGAGGCAAAACGGCTTGAAAAGATTTAACAATTTCCTCCTCCTCAAATTAAAGTCTCGTCTCTACTCTTCCACTAAACAGCTCATCAGTAGACGAATTAAATGTCTGTACATCAAGCATGGACTGGAGTAGATATTTAGCACTGTAGGTTATTAATGCCCCTGTGTTATTGCATTTCACAGAAAATTATATTTGCGTTCACCGTTTGGACGTGCTGCTATTCTCACGTGCTGCTATTCAATGCTATTTGTTTGTCTTTTTCAGGTACGACTATGTAGAGATCCATGATGGGAACTCGGAGACGGCCGACCTACTGGGGAAGCACTGCAGCAACATTGCCCCTGCACCAATCATATCGTCCGGGCCCTCACTCCACATCAAGTTTGTTTCGGACTACGCCCACCAGGGGGCGGGCTTTTCACTGCGCTACGAAATCTTCAAAACCGGTAAGTGGATGTCGCTTTTGATACTTTTGATACAGACAAGGTGATAGTCATGCCCCAGCATGTGACATTTTAATGTGGCTTGGAAAAGTTTTCCTTTTCAATAGTGATACTCTACCTAATGTCTATATTTTCAGAATCCCTGTAAATTACCTCAACACCTGGACAGACTTAAAGTGGCAATAGAAACGTTTTTTTGCTTTAACTTTTGAACAATGTAATGACTGTAGATTATTGACACCATGGACGTTTAGTTTGGTTCCCTATAAGCCTTAACCTGACATGCCAGATAGTTTGTTACATCGAACCATCTGAGAAGGCGTCATTGGAAACTGGCAGGTGATTGGATGAACCATCTGTCAATCAAACACTTGCCGAAATCAGTCGGAAGAAGAGCAAAGACATCTTTTCCATCGAGAAAAGCCATTAATGTTGTTCTTTGCTCTTCTTTCAATGAAGAAACACTAGCATCTATGCTAACCTCGTCATTGTTATTTTGAATGAACGGTCGCTTCTCCGTGTCATCTCACACACACCTAAACTACTCGTGTTATCACAGGAATCCAGCTGCAAGGCTTTCACTTTGCAATTCTGTCTGCCACCGGGTACCATCTCGCAGGAAAATTAAGCCTATTGGTTGCATCAACCATTGCGCAACCAAAACAGGAAGAGGCTAGTGTTTTTGTTTTCCCCATAGCTATCAGTAGCTATTCCCAGTTGCCAAAGTGTATCAATGTAAGCTCTTTGCAGTTACTATCCCCAGAAACGGAAATGGCAGTCGATGAAACAACTGAAGTAACTGTGGAAAACAAAATGCAGTGTCTTAAGAGGACACAAAAAGTTGATTTTATAAGCACCTTCAGATTGCACCTTTGCGAAAAGGCTATTAATAACTGTATTACATGCTACTCATTGAGGACTCAACATGCTTCATTAGGTGACCAAGCCTCGTTTATCTCCATGGTGTCATGGGAGACAGAGAGAAAGAGACGAGAGACACAGCAGAGGACCCCTGAGAGCCCTTTAGACTGTCCAGGCGAGACATCTCTCCCCTTTATGGCACTTTGTGTGTGTGTGTGTGTGTGTGTGTGTGTGTGTGTGTGTGTGT